AAGGTTGTTTTGCTTCAAGTAGCCTAGTCAAAAAAAAAGAAAATCATGAGTTCTTGCGCCATGCCTAATTTCTCCGTTTGATCGGGGGTTCCCCGTTTGCAAGCATCAATTTACTTCTTCTTTTGGAATAAGAAATCGTGCAGCGATAGCATGCAAGAAACAGAAAGATATGTAGACATCTTATTTTTGTGGTTTCAAGGAACTAACTGATGTAAATGGCAAGTACACATCAATCTCACTCTGCTGCTGTTTCCTTTTTTACTCGCAGGCTGTTGCTGCATGATTTCTTATTCCAAAAGAAGAAGTAAATTGATGCTTGCAAACGGGGAACCCCCGATCAAACGGAGAAATTAGGCATGGCGCAAGAACTCATGATTTTCTTTTTTTTGACTAGGCTACTTGAAGCAAAACAACATTTTTCTTTGCATTTTTTTAACAACCCTCCCTCCTCCACATCTGGAAGGGGTTACTGTCAGATACAATATGTATATATAAACACAAGCTCAGATAGTGTGCACGATCGTATTGCACTAACACATACAATCAAATCTTTGATGACTTTTGTGTACTGCTCACTCTTATTGCTTTTCATCAGTTTGATTGGCTCATCATCGACAGTCAGCTTAGAACCAAGACTCTCTACAGGTAAGTCTGCCTTATTAGTCAATACTCAAAAGTCTTACGAACGTCTTTAGCTGTTGCAACATCATGGGACTCGAAAACTGCTGGAAGTGGACTAACAAGCAGAACAAGTGTGATTCTGTATACAAGATATATCACTGGTAATCTCTTTGGATCAGGCTACAACACACAAGTTCGTCATGATATTCCTATCAACAAGTTACTCACATTCTCCGTGTTGGTCAATACTACAACTGGATTCTATCCACCAGACTACTCATATTCAGCTGGTTATGGTTTCCAAACTTTATAAATTCGATCTATGTTCAAATCAATCCGACAATTGGCAGTGCACAATATGTCTATGGGAAACCCTTTATCATTTACATTGTTTACACCAGCTAAACAAATGGCATAGCATGCATTGAACAATAATTCTAAATTTTTAGTGACACACACCCATACATATTTTGACAAAATAAACTTCCATGAAACCCTTATTAACTTTGTTTGAATGTTTTTTCACATGCTCTATTCGATGATGAGAAAGTAATCGTACTCTGCAACTACCTTCACTTGTCGATTCGTGAAGTCCAAAATGAAGCACACGAAACGAGACAAAATGCTGTGAGAAAGAATAAGCAGGGACAAAGGATAAATAAATGCGCAATAGACAGAGAGACGGAGAGAATGCGATCGAAATAAATATTCAGATTTGATTGGCGATGTTTATCACGCTATCATCATTGAAATTCAAGATGAATTCATGCAATGTTGAAATACAGATATAAATGTAATATGCTTTAAAATGAAATATTGTATGAAAAAACAGTTAAAATAGAGTCAGGCAATGTCTGACGAAGATTTGCTGGTTACACTTGTACACCTTATCACGTGATCACTATTGACACTCTAGTTGTTCAGAAAATGCTGAAGTAATGTCAATAGTAGCTCTTAATAGACTAAGAATAGCTTGTTTTTACTTTTTGATTGCTCCCATATGGTCGATTACGATCGAATCACGACGCAATTACGCGTAATTACGAGGAAAAATCGTAGTCGCTAAAGAACAGACGACATGGGCTTATTCATATTGATTCGGAATAAAAGACACATTTGTATGATTGGATGACAAAATAGAAAAGGAAATGTTAGGTTTTAGTATAACAATTTATACTACAATGAAAATCTTACTCTAAATTTAAATTAGTATACTACTGATAATAGAGAGTGTCTTCTGAGATTCCTGTGAGATCTCAATGTATCTAAGCAAAGTAGTTTGAACTCACAGATTATTATTAGTTTTGTTGTCTCATTTTTTTCAATACTTATTGATACAAATCATACTTAATTTTTGACAATGCTCTTAATTATACAACAAAAGAGTATGCATATCACGATATTACATAGAGAAAGGTTTTGAGAATGTGAGGCAGTGGCGTATCCAGCAGGGTAGCAATTGGGCAATTGCCACCCAAACGAAATTTTATTGCTACCTATTTCTTTTTCAGTGTGGGCAATTGCCCATTGTAAAAAAAATACGAAAATTTGTGTACAGTTAAAGATTTAAGGACTCTTTTCTTTCAACACACTTGCTTTTGGCGAGATTTAATCAAGTGATTTACAAAAATCTGTCTTCAATGTCTTCCAGTTAAAGAATGATCACCATAATAATAATAATTTATTTATATTTACTGGCAAAATAATCTCTATCTTTTATACGCTCAAATATGCTAAAAGTAAAGGTGGATAAATGTTCAACAATCTTTCTATTTCTACCGACATAATTCGTATGGTACAGAAACGACCGAATCAATCTAAATTAAAAGTTTTCGCACCGTATGTTGCAACATGATTCGTGCAATGTAGTATTGAAAACGTGAGCAAATCATATAGAAAATTTAAATAAAGTTGATTGTGTAAATGACAGTGTTTTGAAAACGTTTTGACAACTTATTTTAGACATTAAAAGTACTACATTACTAATGAAATGACAATATATGTAGTTCACAGGATGTGTATATTAGTGAACAGTACAACCAAGAAAAATAACTTTCATGATTGAGAACTTGTTGAAAATAGAGATGGAACAATGCTTGCTGCTTGTTATTGTCCAATGTAAGAGAACAATCTAATACGTGTCATTGTGTGACCAATGAAAGAAGATTAACTGAGCTTTTTCATTGCCTAACGAAAGAGAAGGAAGAGACATTGATCATTTTTCGGTGAAAAAAGATAAAATAACACTCACCCTCACTCTACTAAAAAGAATACTATTCATCATGGCAGCCGTCAAATAAAGAAAAGTGATTATCAGCACCGCGGCCGAATGAAAGAAAATAGCCAGAATGTTGTATTATTAATAATACAGTATAAGAAAAGACAGTGCATTTGTTGATTGAAACATGCATATTATACAAACACTTTTATACTAAATATCTTTTGCTTACATGTTAAAATGTCTGGTGGTGATAAACGAAAACTCGACTCACTTGATTCATTTGTTACTATCACGAAAAAGTCGATCGTCACACCATCTTCACCCAAACAAACCGAATCCGATCAGTCTGCACTTATCAATGCTGAAGTTACTGAAACTATTGATGTTGAATTTGAAGAGCCAGATACTCTCAATTCTTCTGATATTAACCAAAACTTGAATGTTATCGATTCTCATCCAAGTACTCATGAAATTGATATCGGTTTTCAATTATCATTACGTACTACTCTTACCAATGAAACTAAATACCAATTACTTACAAAACCATTTCGACCTGATAAAAAGTACAAATTTCCAGATCAACGTGAAAAAGGTGCAGCATCTCGTCGATTTATGGCTACCTGGTTAGACCAGCATTCATTTCTCGTCTACTCACCATATTATGAAGGAGCATATTGTTCTGCTTGCTCTTTGTTTTCACCTTTGGCTTCATATAAATCTAACGTGCTGTTTGTTAATTATCCATGTTCTCGTTTTGGTCATCTAAAACATTTCTCGAAATATATTAAAACTCATCTCAATTCAAAAAATCATAAACTGGCTATGATACGTGCCACTGAATTTATTCGAACGTTCGAAAATCCAACATCTAGTATCGACTATCAACTAGATCGCAACCGAATCGAATTAATCGAAAAAAATAAATCTATACTTCTCTCAGTTATCAAGGTGGTGATTACCTGTGCACGACAGAATATTTCTATTCGTGGCCATCGAAGTGAGTCTTTTTCTTCTTAAAATTCATAGGTAAAATTTGGTTTATATTTTAGGTGAAGATATCATCTCAATTCGAGAACATCTCGATACTGTTGACGCATCGTCTGGATCTAACTTCATTGCACTTCTGAAACAACGTATTGATGCTGGCGATCAAATTCTTCAATCTCATCTTGAAAACGGAAATCGTAATTCAACATACACAAGTTCATCCATTCAGAATAAAATTATTGAACTTATTCATGAACATGTTTTGTCATCTATTCTTTGTCGTTTAGGTCCAACTACACTCTATTCTATAATAGTCGATGGTACTACCGATTCATCCAACATCGAACAACTGTGTTTTCTCATTCGATACGTCGATCAGCATTCACTTGAAATTCGTGAAGATTTTCTTGCCTTTATACCAACTACTTCGTCAACCGGTGAAGCTATTGCTGATCATATTTTATCATGTTTAAAAAAATTCGGACTTCCACTTACCAACTGTATTGGTCAAGCATATGATGGTGCACCCTGTATGTCTGGTATTTTTATTGGATGCCAAGCCATCATTAAACGACTTTGTCCTGATGCCGAATACATGCATTGCAGTTCTCACGCCTTCAATCTTGCTCTTATTGACTCTAGTTCTTCTCATTTTATTCGAAACATGTACGGTATTGTAAAATCAATTATTACCTTCTTCAATGATTCACCTAAGCGTTCGAACGCACTCAAATACGAAATTGAACGACCAGACAATGATTATTTGGTATTAAGCAAGAAAAAACGTCTGCTGTCTTTAGTAAGTAGAAATGTTTTTTCTTAGTTTCATTCTGTTTCAACTATAAATCTATTTTCAATACTTTTTTCAGTTTTGCTTGGAAGAGTTTTTCTAAAACAAAAATATTCTGTAAATATTGTTAATATAAAAATGTTTTACTTTATTTTAGTGTGAAACTCGATGGGTGGAACGAAATATTGCTATCGAAACATTTCTTGAATTGTACATTCCAATTTCAAATACTCTTGATACTCTTCGTATTGGAGGAGATTCAACTTCACAACAGCTTTATCATCCAATTAATTGTTTCGAAACTATTATTTCCACATGTATTGCATGTTTTCTTCTTGGTGAAGTTACTCCACTTAGTCGTCTTTTACAAACTCCAACAATCGACTTTGGCATCGCTCATCATCACGTTTTATCATTACTCAAAACATTCGACACACGAGAAGCTGATATGGTTAATTATTTCAAAAATATTGTCTTTGAACAAGCTAAAAAAATTGCCAAAGAATTATTAATACAGCCAACAGCACCACGAACATATCAACGACGACATGGTCAAGATATCCTTGATCCAGAAGAATTTTATCGCGATCAAGTATTTCTTCCTTTTCTTCGTGAATTAAAAGGAAATATCGAAAAACGACTTTCTATATTTAATCAAGTACGTATATAAATACTTACTCAATTACGACCTGAACACATTACATCTACAAGCTACTCAATAACTGAACTATATAAAAAATTAACAGACAATTTTTTCGATCGTTTGCCACAACCACTACAACTTTTCGGTGAATTAGAAAGATGGAGAAATGAATGTATTGATCTTATGAACAAGCCAAACTACATTAACTTATGGATGAATGATTTACTTCTTAAGTGCGATCCTATTCTTTATCCAAATATACATTATTTACTGGTGTTTCTTGTTACTCTTCCAGTTACTACTAGCTCGGCTGAACGCGCTTTTAGTTCACTCAAGCACATCAAGACTTATTGTAGATCAACAATGGGTGAAAATCGATTAAATGGACTTGCAGCTGCATCCATTCACAAAAGTGTGGAGATTGATGCTAATAAAATTCTCGATTTATTCGTAAAAAAACATCCACGTCGACTTGATTTTGGATTATGAATGCTTGTTTTTTTTTTGTATGTATTATTCTTTGTTAACTTGTGCTCGTTGATATTATTTATTTTTTCTATTTATGCTTATTTATACTAATACTATTTCTTGTTCTATTGTTATTTATATATGACTTCAAATAAAATATTCAACTATATGAAATTGAAAAATAGATTTATGAAACACGGCGAAAAAGCAGCGAATTCACCTGTTAACGTATGATGACTGCAACTGAATTCTCTTCAAGTATACAACAGCTTCTGTAATGCGCATAATATTTTTTTAATTATTGCCCACTAGATTTTATAATTGCCCACTATTGCCACCCATTATAAATAATTTAGCTGGTGAATTGCCACCTACTTAAAAAATCCTGGCTACGCCACTGATGTGAGGGTATTATAGAATCTAGGCATTCATATTCTGAATGTTAATCGCTTATCGTAACGACATTATGCAACAATTTTCTGTTACTAAATTTTTTTATTTACCTTTTTTTGTTACAAACGATCATAGAAAATAGTGACCTCTTTTCTTAATTATGTTGAACATCGCTAGGCGACGTTCTTTTTGAATAAAGTGTAAATGGCAACTTTTTCTACGTACATATTTCTGAAAATTACCACGTGTATTTGTATTTATTACAATAGAATAAAAAATGTCTTCGGAAAAACGAAAAATGCTTGATATATCAATTGCACCTCAAAAACTAAATCAATTTCGTGAATCTCTTCAAGGTACATTCGAAACTTGTGATGCTATAGCATATGCAGAACATATAGCTCAAGATGTAAGTTATTTCACATGTTTATAATACATTCTAATTATTTATTAATTTAGACTGAGGGAATATCATCTCGTGTAGTTTCAGGAAAACATTTAGCACGCACATTATCACGTAATGAACATCACGAGAAATTACCTTTTCATCTAAGATCGTAATATAATTTCAATATTGAAATATTCATATAATATAAACTCTAAATAAATTCAGGTTAGAAAGATGGCAGAATGAACGTTTATCAACAAAAAAACTTGGTGGACGATTGGAACAACAAAATACACAAATACAGTCATCATTAGATGGTAATCTAACATCACAAACAATTTGGTTAAAATTTGAGGCAGAAAAAAATCCAAACGATGCTGCTTATCAATTAATACGATTACGTAGAAAACTTGGTCTTACAACACAATTACCTATTCATGGACCAGATGGTAAACAAGCACTTGAACAACATCTTAAAAAGGCAGAAAATGAACTAGTAATTAACTCAATAAAAATTCATCTACCAGAGAAAAAAAAAGCAGAATATTATCTTTTCTTTTCTTTTTTGAAGTCTTCACATGCAGATGCAAATAAAATCTTCTATTACTGTTTATTAACTGGTCGTCATAAACATTATTCACCTTATAATCCATATGAATTAGAAATACAACCTAATGGAGTTGAAGCACTTGCATCATCATCTTATTGGACAATGTCTGCATTTAATATAACACATGTAGAATACTAATTGAATCCTATTTTATTAAATAAAGAAATGTTTTTATTTTTATTTTGTCATATTATTAGGTTAATCAATTAGATTCAGCTGAAACAACTATTACACCAGCTTTAGTTTGGTTATGGGAACGATATAAATATAATTATTTAATTAGTCATTTCTCATGTTTTACGGATTTTCGGTTTGTTTTATCGTTTTTAATTTTTCTATTCATAAAGTTTATATTTAAGAAAATGGCGAACATTTCGTTGTTGGTGGGCTAATGTTCAAGAAGAAAAACGTCAACGAACACTGTATAAATTCTTGTAAAATTTTCATTCACTACTTATCTTTTTTTCTTTTATAATTATTTAGTTCTCTTCATTATCGAAAACTTTTTTATGCTAATGAAATCTTGCAAGGTGTTCTTATACATGTTAAAGCTATGTGTGAAGTTTATTATTATGGACAAAAGAATTATGTACAACCATTTTGTTTACTTGATCGTCATGCATATCAAGAAACATTAACACTTTCAGAATTTAGTCGACGACAATTTCTTCAAATGAATACAACAGTTATTAAATTAACAAAATTTCTTGATCAAGTTGCTGTTCTAGCAGCCGATGCTTGTCAAGTAAGGTGATTGGAAAAAAAGTTTAACAATAACATATTCTTTTTTCTATCATGTTAAACAATTACCTCAAATCCTGAGAGTGATCTTAATAGCCAACGACATTTTCTTTTACTAAGATTTCTAAAAAACTGACCCAGATCTTGGAAGATTTTGTTGGAGCCATTTTTTTTTTAAATCCATTTTAAAGAGAACAAAATGAGAAGTTGCCGCACTTTCTATAATCTTCGTTTTAAAGGTTAAAAGTGTCACAAAAACCAAAAAAATTGCATTTTATCAAAGCTAGCATTCTTTTCCTTGTAAAGAATGTAGCTGCTGTGAGTTTTTTTATATCAACTATTAAATAGTAGTTTTACTCTATCTGAAGCTGTAGTCGAAATTCATGAAATACAAAACAAACATTGAGAAATCGATTGAAAATGCACATATTGTAGTTCTTTTTGAACGATTTAAATTGATTTCGAGTACAGCCTCGGATAGAGAGAAACAAACTGATCATGATTACTATAAACAATTTACATGAACTACATTAAAATATCATCTTTGATATCATGTTATGAGAATTGATACGGTGACGAATTTCAGACTTTGGGCAAGGAGGTGGTTATAGTTACAAAACGTGTCTTAAAGTTCATTACACATCATATCGACTCGATTTTTGGTGTTTTTTTCCTGAGGAAAAAGTTGAAGAATGTTTCGAAAGGGAGAAGTGATAGCTTTCAATACTTTAGTCTACATCTGCCATTGAATTGGTGCATCCCTAGTTTTAGTCGATTTTTTTTTCGATACTTTTAACTTAACAAGGGAAGATCGTAGCAAATGCGGGGGCCCATAATTTTTCTTTTTGTCTTGAAAATGGCATTGGTAAAAAAATGGGTCTGAGAAAGTCTTCTGAGATTTGGTTCAATTTTTAGAAATCTTGGTAAAAGAAAACTTCATTGGCTAGTAAAATCACTATCCGAGTTTGAGCTAATTGTTTAACATTATAGAAAAAGAAGTACATTGTTGTTAAACATTTTTCCACTAGTTGATGTTATATAAATAATTTTCTAAAACTTTGATGACATTTACTTCTATTATTAATTAGAAAGCTGTTGAATTAGAAGGTATACCAATAGAAGCATTAGCTGATCCCAGTCTATATCGTCGACCCATAGAAGAAGAAGAAGCTGAACAAACGACACAATCTTTTCTTGAATCAAAACAAAATCGAGCATCAATTTTACGTGATGTTAATATAAGATTGAAAACTAAACGACGTAAATGTTTTTGAAGAAAACATTTCTTTTTATTTTGAATAAAAAAAAAATTGTTTGAATATTTTAGATATTGGCCCAAGTTTTGCCATACGTAAACATTGGCGCGATACATTAACACGTTTAACAGAATTTTTACGCTTACTTGATTATATTGTTCTTGAACTTCTTCGTCGTCTTGTTAAATCAGCTGTACGAGATTTACTTATTCATTTACGTGAATCATATTGTGTTGAGTTTGAACTTGCTAATCAAGGACAAAATGAAGATGAAGATGATATTAAATTTCAACCATCACGTATAAAATCAGCTGCATCATCTACTAGAAGTTTTCGAATTAAACAACCACATCGATCGGAATCACATACAACTTATCAAACAATTCGAACAACTCTTAATTCAGAATTGTAAGAAATAGGATTAAAAGTAAAATTTTCTTTTAGTTGTTTTTTTTTTTTCAAAAAGATCAAGTATTAAAGAATCAACAGAACGTCCAAGTAAATTATCAGCACGAACATCTGAAACACGAACACCAACTGTTGAACAAGGAACGAGAAATGAAGATTATGAAGAAGATGATTTCTATTTAACAATTGAACCAAATGATATTCTTGATTTACCACGAGTATGATTTAACAAAGAAACCAACTAACCTATGACGTGAAAGTGTCGACACAAAATATTCGTTCATTTTTCAATCACTTAAAGACACCTGGTTAGAATCAAATTGGATAGCTATCATCAGATTGTTTCAAAAGAGCCAAAATAATAGTTCTAAAAACTACTGTTTGAGTCAAAGTTTGTATTTCGTTTGAAACCTATCAAATTCAAAATGCACAATTGTTTTTAATGGTTCACGAGGAAAATTCCCTAACTGATTAATTGCTTTTGAGTTGGGACTATGTGCATCATGTAGACTCTAAACGATGATGAATCTCTCGAAGAAGAGTTCGAAATCATAGTTTATTCTGGCCTCCTCAGTAGAGCTGATCGAGTCCAGGTTTGGGACTAACCTGACAGGCTCCACCCCCAGGAAACTTTATTTTCGAATTTCGACTTGAAACTTTGCGTAGAAACAGACCTTAGCGAGAATGTTTAATCATGAAAGTGTTAGACCATTTGATCTGTTTCTGTCCTGAAATAAGAAACATCGAATCTGCGGGTGAATATGACCGTTGTTTTGAAAAATGCGCTCTTATCATGGCTATATTTTAGGATAGGAATAAAGAAAGTATTTGAGACTTTCACAATAAACTATTCTTATCAGAGCTTATTTCTATAAAAATTCTTTCTGACGTTCTTCTTTGTATTGAAAAATACCGTAAAAATGCAATGAGCTATTAGCTCGAAGTCTTTTCTTTTGGGTATTCATAATCCATTTGAGTCTATATGACGCAAATAGTCCTAAATGAAAAGGGATTAATCAGTTAAGGAGCTTCTCTCGTCAGTTATGAAGTATAACATTTACTAATTACTTTTGCATGACAGATTTTCAAACATTAAAATTGTTCGACTTTATTAAACTCGTCATCACGGTGATAATAAACTTTTTCCAATATTGTAATAAATGATTGTAGTAATTGTAGAGTTCCATCGTGTAGAAATTCTTTTTGGTAAAAGAAATATATTTTTAATAATGCCATTTTAAGCTGGACTATGTCTGGCCGAGCCATCGAAAAGTGTCTCAATTTCAATGCTTGCTGTTTCTAGTTTTTACCATTTGTCTTCTAATGGCTCGAAAAATGAGCGAATAATTTGTGCCAAGACTTGTACGCTATAGATTAATCTATTATATAATTCATAGATTGAAACTACTGGTCGGATACCTCGGCCTATGTTTGAAATCAGTGTATTACTTAAAATAACTCAATTACCAAGAAAAAAAACACCAGCTAATGATGATATGTCAAAATCTGAAAGGTTTATTATTTTATTATGAAATTGAAATGTCGAAATCATTTAGTTATTTTGTTTTAGCTCATTTGATAGTACAACTAAAGTAGCTTATGAAATAAGTCCAAATGAATATGATTTTAAAAATGCTACACGTGATATTATTAATGGATTAGAATCATCTGTTGGTAAAGACTTGATTAGAAAATTCTTTTTTTCAATAGAAAAAAAAAAACAACATTTTATTTGATTATATTTAAGGTCAAATATCTAGTCTTTGTGATCATCCAACATTAAGATTATTTTCTAGTTATCCAAATTATGATTCATTACGTCCACAAGCTCGAACACCAATTCATGTATCAGAAATTCGTTGGCCAGATGTTGATTTTCTTTTTGGTGATGATGTTGATCATCAAGAAATTATTCTTGAGACATTAAGTACAGTTAATCGAGCTTTATCTAATGTTCAAAATTTTGTTAGAGTACGAGGAAAAATTTTTCTTTTTGTTTTCTTGATTATTTATATATTTTTCTTATAGCGATATCAAAAATATTGTGATATGGTTTTTAGTTGTATTCAATTAAATATTGATGAAAGTCTTAAACGAAAAAATTTAACAACAGATGATCTTCAATTTTTAATGACTAAACATACACAACAATTAGGCAAAATAGAACAAATGATTGTTCAACAACGTGTTGGACTTATTTTAATAAAAGCACAACAATTTTATGATGCAACAGTACCTTATCCTCAACATGTTATTGAAGCTATTGAAATATATTTACCACCTGTTGCTATTGATAAAAATGAACGAATGCAAAAAACAATTCGAGTTAATTGAAGCAGAAAAAAAAATTTCTTTTTTTAAGAGATTTTGACTTTGTCTTTTTTTTTGTTCGTATTTTTAGGAAGTATTGAAATTATTAGATCGTGATCCAAGATCAGTTGAAGATTTTGTTCAACATATAGCAACATTGAATAAAGTTAATAATGATTTAGGAAATTTAGAAATTGAATTTGATACAATATCAAAAATGTTTCATATTATTAAAGATTTTTCAATGAAAATTGCACCAGAAGCATATGCTTTATATCGTTCTTTAGCACCAATATATCATCAATTAAAGGTAAGAAAAATTCATATTTATTTATGTTTTTTTTAATTATTTTTTAAAATTTTAGTCAAGTTTACTTTATACAGAAGCTCAATGTGATGAAAATGTACAAAAATTTACTATTGAACTTGATGATATGATACAACGTTTATATGATCAAACAATTGATCTTAAAACAAAATCAAAAGATCCAGCTTTATTAACAAATGAAACTCGAACTGAAACAGCATTAGATATTATTATAATTTTACAAGAATCATTATCTAAAATAAATGAAAAAGCTAAAAATTATTCAGCTTTTCAAGAACGTTTTAATCAAATAAATAAACAATCAACAAAAAAACGTATTTTAGGGTAAATTTCTTTGATTATATAAATAAAATTCATTTCATTAAGTTTTTTTTTTGTTTTTATATAGTGATTATCAAGTAAAAACTAAATATCATCGTTATGATGTAACAGTTAGTCTTCAAACAGTTCAAAGTGAAATAAATGATATTGAACAAGATATTAATTTACGTAAACTCTTATGGGAATCTCAACAAAAATGGACTAAACTTTATCGTGAATGGACAAATACTGTTCTTGATGCTATTGACATTGATCTTTTACAAAAAGATGTTAATAAATTTACACAAAATATATATATGCTTGAAAAAGCATTACCACCTAATAATATAATTCCATCATTAAAAGATCGTATTGTTGAATTTAAAACAGCTATGCCTGTTATATTAGCATTACGTAATTCACATATGAAACAAAGACATTTTGATCGTTTACGTGTATTAATTGGAAAAGATGTTATTGATGATGAAAATTTAAAATTAAATAAATTACTTAAACCTGAAATATTACAATTAACTGATAAAATAACTGATGTATCATCATTAGCATCAAATGAAGCATCATTAGAAACAATGCTAAATAAAATTATTGAAAGGTAAATTGATCAATATAGAAAAGAAAAAAAAAATTGAATATAACTTCAATCTTATTCTTTTGTTTTTCTAGATGGAGATCATTAGATTTTCGTTTATTACCTCATGCAGGTAAAGATACATTTATTATAACTGGTTTTGAAGAAATTTTACAACAATTAGAAGAAAGTCAAGTAAAATAATTTTTTTTTTTTATTTTGAAAATATTTTAATTTATTTTATGATTTATTAACAGATAACAATGTCAACAATAAAATCTTCAAGATATATAAATCCAATTCGACAATTAGTTGATGAATGGGATAAACGTTTGATATTATTATCAAAAACAATTGATGAATGGATAACATGTCAAAGACGTTGGCTTTATTTAGAACAAATATTTTCTACACCTGATATTCAATTAACACAAGAAACTAAAATCTTTGCACAAATTGATAAAACATGGAAAGAATTAATGCGTAAAACTGAACAACAACCAAATGCACTTAAGGCTGCAACACAACCTGGAACATTGGAATTATTACAAACGAATAACGTACAAATGGAAAAAATCCAACGAGCATTAGAAGTAAGTTTTTTTTTTCTTAGTTGGTAACATTGCTGATTGCATTTCGAGTTATAATTCGTATAGTTAATCATACGATAGGACATTATTCGAGAAAAATAAGTTACTTGCTTGACAGCAGCGTTGTCACACCTAATAGTAACTGTAAAAGTTTTTTTTCTTATATTTATTGCTTTATAATATTTCTCAGAAAATAGTGATTCATTTTTGAATACTTCCTAAGAACAATAACATAAAGTTGAAATTACTACTAGAAGATATTGAATTACACGAGACGCAACCGGACATATATGTACTTATAGGGTTTTTGCTTTCATCTTAGTTTATTTTTATAGTTAAATTTACACATTATGCTTCTTATAATGAATTTCACTAACGAGGAAACATTCCCAGGTGTTGGAGCGATTTTTAGTCGGAACTTTGCGCATCTTGTAGGCCTTGATGAATTATGTCTAACGTAAAAAAGTTCATGCCCCTAGCTTGTTCCTAGTGAGATATCGAGGTTTTAGTGAATTTTTCTTATAAGACCCCACATTTGCAGCAAGGCCATATTTTTGAATTTTGATCTGAAACTTTGCCTACATAAACATCTCAGCTAGACTATTTTGCATAAAAAATTTCAGAACTTTTGGACAAAGTCTCTCCGAGATATGAAGTTTTCAACGTAGAAGCCGTTTTCCATAGATAGCGTATAAAGCATGCATTTTTTGAAAGCTTCATATCTCGGAGAGACTTTGTTCAAAAGTTCTGAAATTTTTTATGCAAACTAGTCTAGCTGAGATGTTTATGTAGGCAAAGTTTCAGATCAAAATTCAAAAATATGGCCTTGCTGCAAATGTGGGGTCTTATAGGAAAAATTCACTAAAACCTTGATATCTCACTAGGAATAAGCTAGGGACACGAACTGTTTTTACGGTAGACATAATTTATCAAGGCCTACAAGGTGCGCAAAGTCTCGACTAAAAATCGCTCCAACACCTGGGAATGTTCCCTTGTCAGTCAATCGACTTATATCTCTACGTATATATGAAAGAAATCAGTTCTCCTGACGTAGATCACAGTGTCAAGTTCAAAAGTATCACAAAACTCTCATATCTTCGTAGAAATAACCTAAAAGTCCGAACTCTTTTTTTTTTTTAAGGATATTCATAGCTTATTAGAATCTATATGATGCACATAGTTGTAATTCTGAAATGATTAGTCAATTTGAGAGAATTCTCTTGTAAATATAAATTACCAGAAATTGAACCTTGTGATGTATGATGATACATTGAATTTGTATTTGGTACATTTTGTGGTTGTAAGAAGACATTTGTATTTCGATATTGAAAATTTTGTGGTGGATACTAAAAATAAAAATAATGTTTGTCAAAAAATATATAAATTATTTTAAGTCTATATCTGTGTTAGTTAAACAATACCATAGAACAGTGTATTCATTTCTATATAGAAATAGAAAGAAAGTAAAAGCAAAGATATGGCGTATTGGATAAATATATACAAGGACATAAATTGATTCAAAATGTTAAAACATTTTGAAATTACATTTCATAGAAAAGGAAAATATATATATATGTACATGTATTTTACAACGATAAAGCAAATATACAGAGACAGACTTACGATTTGTGAAGATTGAACACTCGAAAAATCTGAATTTATCGGATCCGTACTGGTAGTATTTGTAGTTGATGAATAAATCTATATATAAATATGGGATGGAAGGGGATGGGATTTTTAATTTTGTTTTAAATTTAAATCTCAACTCATCGAATAAAAAAACGAAAACTCCTATTTCTTTTTTTTGTTTTCAGAAATAAAATATTACTCGATTAAATTGTTGTTGTTGTTGTTGTTGTTGTGGTAGTGGTGGTGGTGGTGGTGGAGCTGGCAAAAGATTTTCATAGAATGTATATGAATGTTGTTGATGTAATGGATTAACTTGAGATTGTGAAAGTATATGTTGTTGTTGTTGTTGTTGTAATGATGCTTGAGAGATTGGTGGTGGTAATGGTGGTGCTGAAAATGTTTGATAACTTGTTACATCAACTTGATCTTGAATATTAGGTGCAACTTGTTGAGTTGGTTTTACCTAAAAATAAATTTCAATTAAATATTTCGATTTATAGAAATAAATAAATAAATACTTACTGTACAAATATTTTTTTGTTCATTTTTATTTGAAACAGTACTTGTTGAATATGTTGGTGGTTGATTAATTGTTGATGATGAACCTGTTGATTGTAAATTATTAGTAGATGTTGTAATTTTATTATTCGTATCATCATTTGCTGTTGATGAAACATTTGTATTTGTAACTGTTATATTTGTTGATGATGTTGGTATAGATTCTTGAACATAATTATCTGTTTTTGTTGAATTTGTATTTGAAACATTATTATCTTGTTGTTTTTGTTTTTGTTTCATTGCAACCATTGTATTTATAGTTTGTTCAAGATGTACACTAAATTAAATCGAAGAACAAAAAAAAAAAAAAAAAACTTTTTCTAGAAAAATTTTCACTTTTTATATACCTTGTATGATCAGATGCATCCCATATAGTTTTAAGAGAATTTATTTTTTGATTATAATCATCACCAACTGTACCAATAGATTGTTTATCATCATAATCCAAAAATGTACTCTATAATAGAATATTAATATAGTTCTTTATTTTGACGTAAGAAAAATAAATTGAATTACTTTTTCAAATAATTGATTTGAACCTAATGATGATATTGTATCATTCTTTTCATAAGTGGCAGATTTTGTCTTAAAATTGAAAGAAAAAAAAGAGAATTTTTTTTTAAAAAAAGACAATAAATATAGAATCGAATAGATTACTTTATTTTCTCGAGTAGATTTATTATCTATTACAGGTGGTTTTATGGCTCGTGCTATAGTTTCATTAGCTTTCGATACTGTTGAATGAGTAGTAAGCTATTTAATAAAAAAACTAATATTTATTAAGAAATATATTTTTTTTTTATTTAATCTTACATCAGTTGCTGTACGTTGATGAAGTGGTAATGATGGATCATTTGATGATGAAGATGGAACGACTTCATTTCCAAATTTTCGATCATGAGTAGCTAATAATGAAAGAAAAATATTAAAAATTTTCTTTTTTTCGTTATTTTATGGTTAATTTAATAGAATAAAGAAATTTATGTGATATTAAACGATGAAGATTTCGAGAATGAAATATTATGTGATTAATTGTCTTTGAGTCAAGATTATCTATATCAACTTACATCCTAATGAATTATGAACAAGAGTTTGAGTTTCTAATTTATTGTTTCGGAAACATTGCAACAATTAGAAAGAATTACGGAATCTTCCAGACTTGATTCTAGCTCGCAAAAAATATGAACTAACAACTCGCTTGAACAACACAAGAAAGACCTTAGTGGAGAATATATGATTATGAAAGTTTCAGATTTTTTTTTATTGTTTCTAGTTTACTAGCAGATTCGATGTTCGTATTTCAAAATGGAATAAAATCAAAATACATGAAACTTTCATAATAAGATTTTCTTAGTTTCATTTCGATTATTTTTAATTCTTGAACAGGGAATAAATGATCAGGTTCGAACTTTTACTACAGATATTTGGAGGTGTTTTCCAGACATAGAATCTGTCTTCAGGTGCTGTGCCTCTAGTAAAAATTTTAGCCTTGTTAGTTACACTCTTCTCCAGATCAAAATAGAACGAAGAGATATGTTTGAAGGTTGTCCTTAGGCAAAGTTTGAAGTCAAAATTCGAAAATCAACTTTCCTAAGAGAGATCATTGTATTGATTGATAAAACATAGGATCTCCGCAGTAATAAGCTACGATTCGGAAATATTTCTCGAGTAAGTCTTGCTCATAAGGGTCTACATAATGCACATAGCCCTTCGTCAGCAGTCTAGTCTTATCAAGACTTCATTATAGTGGCGGAGCCAGGGGGGGGCTGGGGAGCTCAGCCCCCCCCCCCCA